TATGAGTAGTCTAACATTTTTAACCACTCAACTATCAGTTTTCCATATATAGTATCTAGCACATAGCACAATTTGCAACAGCAATCTTCAGAAGCAAGTAATAATATCATATAAATGCACGGGGAAAAGAAATTTAAATTACCTCCAAAGCATCAATTTTCTCTGAGTCATTTGCCTTAACTTCTGATTCATATAAGTCAAAACCATCGGCATAATCGGACATATAAAGCTTGCATGGCCTTTGTTATCTGAGCCAAAGAGCTAGTCTGCAAAAGAGTGAGAAAAGAAGAGGAAAATGATCAAGCATGAGAAGACGGAAAGAGATATTCATCGGATAAAAAGCGAAACGAGGCTAAAGATATTTGTATGTATATATATATATGTATTCGGTGCTTACTGTTAGTAATGATAATTCATAATAAGAATCGAAAAACTAAACAATCCCAGTAATACCTTGCTGATATAAATAGGTATGCCACGAGATCTTGTAGCAGCTTGAAGACGAGAATTCTTTTTGAGCTTGGACTGCAATGCTAATAAGACATCTGCTTCACTGATGTTGTCTGTAAATTCAATTGTATCATCTAGCTTCAACTGTTTCATCCCTTGTACAACACTCGCCTCCGATATCTATAACACTGCTTGCATGTAAGTTCCTAGTATACCAGTTCTCATAGTGAATCCGACCAAGGTATATCAAGTTTTCTACAATCTTGCTACATTAAGTGATTTGAAACAGATTTATCATTCCCATCTACAAATCATGAACTTTTAAAAATCACAGAAGAAATGAAATGTAGTATAGAAGGAAGATGATTGCTTGTATGTTGCACTTCTGTTTTGCATAAGAAAAATTGCATGATAACAAGATCTTATATATATGTATGTTACGTGAATATGATGGTTCTTACCCCATAAAGAAATATACAGATGGCATCATCCTCTTTAGAAGAATCCTCTTCCGAGACAACATTGTCATAGCATGGGGATCCATCGTTTATTTCTGAACTATCTTCAACCCGACTTTCCCTGCTTGTCTCAAATAAATCATGCCTGTGTAATATTGGTCCAAATTCGTCTGTTGACCCCTGATTTATCTTTCGAATCTCATAATTTGGGTTGCGGCCTACTCAAGGAACAAGGGAAAAACAGTGCATTCAAAATGGTAACAGGATAGTTGAAATGAGAAAAACAACAGAAACATCATTTGTAATACAGAAGAAGGAAATCAAACCTAAAAGTAAAGCATCCACTGTCTCTTCTAAATTACGATGGACTCGTAATTCTGTCCTAGTAATTATCTCCACCCCGCAACTGAATGTTGATGGCCCTTTCCTCTCCAACACGGATTTTTGAACACCCCTTCTACTTGCCTCTTCATCTCCTAATGTGACACTCTGGGAACAGTAGCGATAATGTGAAATATGTGAAAAAGTTAATCCAGCCAAGACATGAAAAATAACTGAAAGATGCCGTAAATAAATTCAAGTCACGAGGTAACTCTCAACCATAGCAATGTATCGGATATGATTCTAGCTTTTTATAAGCAACGGGTTGAAGTTTTTATCCACCATGTTCACTGTACCAGGGTTCCTGCTTCTATATAAGCAACATCAAGGTTCCATTTTTTAAATCCTACATATAGGATGTTTTTGAAATTTGCTTCAGCGTATTGATAACGGGTCTCGCAATAGATAAGGTTCATATTATAATCATATCAGTACTGACATTTCCATCTAATACAAAAAGTCAATCAATACCTCCGTATGGTACAATCACTAGATTAAGAATATAGCAATATCAACAAGGACTTGATATTCACGAGTAAGGAAAACATAAGCCTGTAATCATCCTGTATAGCTAAAGTTTATGTCAAGCATCATCATCTACTCTGAGAAATGTGTAAAATCGTAATGAAGAAAAAATGTTCAAAAGTCAGCCCTATAGATGACTAAAACTTCCCACGGCATGTGATGCATGATACAGAATTTGGGCCCGAACATGATCTCCAACTGTCCAATAAAAGTTTTGCAGAACAGCGTGAGAGTTTGTTTGTCATCAAAAGCTGGTTGCAAGGGGTAAAGATCTAAGTAATGAGTGCCAAGGCAATCTAGAAAAGTTTGTCCAAGGCAATCTTCAATAGTTTTGCCTATCAGACCAAACATTCTGTAATAGGTAAGAATAATTTATTTACGTGATCTTATTAGATTTCAGAATATTCATACCAAACTTCTTGCATTAATGGGCTTCTCACTACCCAACTACAGTATAACACATTTTTTTTGCAGCAGGATCCCAATTAATATTAGCCTGTGAGAGTGTGAGTTCAAATGAGGTTTCTACCATGCAGAAAATTGAAAATATATCGAGATCATGTTTTAGATCGGTAGAAAATAATTTCATTATTACTTTTGAATACGTTAGTTTCACATCAGAAATTACCTGTACTCCACCAACAAGCATCTCTAAAGCAGGATTCATCACTAAATTTTCGATGGTTATTCCATGAGCAGTTGCAACAAGCTGAATTCCACGTTGTGCAATCGTACTTGCAGCCATAGCTTCAAGCTTTGTGCCAATTTCATCTATCACAATCACTTGTGGCATATGATTTTCAACAGCTTCTATCAGTACCTATAAGAATAAACCAAACATGCATTTGCAAATATAATTAAACTGTTTAGAAAGCTCTTACATAGAATGTAGAAGTCCAAACTTATTTTTGAGTTTCTTAAGCCAAGTAGATAATCAGCTACGCATGACATTCGCCGTATATTAAAAACACTTTATTCGAAAATGTATGCTTCCACTAGGCAGAACCTGATTTGACAGACTGAGTTAACCCATAACCAAAAATTATTACTTCATACGAGGACCTATATCATTTGCATAAAGAACTAAGTGTCAGCTGAAATAATACAACTCGCTGTATTCATAATTGAGTAAAATGGTTCAGTCATCTAAAACTTTGATGTGATTATATTTTTTTGGTAGAGATGGTAGCAATAAACTCTAGTCTAGATACTATAACCGATTTATGAAAATAAATTAGTAACAGCCATGTAGACCTTTTGCTTCCATATCTATAATCACACCATTTTCAAAAAGTAGCATTTGTTGCATTTTACTTGTATCATCTTTAGGACATAGGGAGATGGTAGCAATTTTCATACCTTATGTTGCACATCAGTATGTGGGACTTGCATCCTTCGAGCATTTCCTATTCCGGAGTGTGGAATATCTCCATCACCCCCAATTTCATTTGAGGTGTCAACAATCATTACACGCTTCTCATACTCACTTGCCAGCATACGAGCTATGTCCCTAAAGAACAATAAGTTAACAAACATTACTTTTAGCATGTTTGAACTGATACTTAAATATGAAAAATTCAATCAATTTTTATAGTGTTCAGTACATGTAAGCTCCGTCGAAAGCATACACTGCATTTTGATCAAATTTATTACTCTTGTGTCCATTCATGTCATCCCAAACTCCTTCCTAAATTAGATTTTTTTCAAGACTATCCTCTGATTTGACGTAATGATCTGACTCCACTAACTCTCAACCCCTACTTTTATGCGGGATAAATACACGAGAAGAAGACTTTGGCACGTCAATTTTAGCATGTGACTACTAACTTATTTCTGGATGTAGAAGAGAAGTTCATAGAGAGAGACTGAGAGAGTCTACAACTATAGGTCACGGAATAATGGCATTGGTAGAAAGATGTTTCAAAGTTAAACCGATCATACTTTCTTTTCCAATTAAATAATGTGCTATAGCTTTAGTTCAAGAACCAAAATTGGGGGGCGGAAGCACAAAAGAAGGAAAACAATGTCACAGGATTTAGACACCCACAGATCCGCACATGTCCAAGCATATATTAAATGGTGCTGTTAAGTGACACACTGTCAGAATTTAGATCAAGGTTTCATATGCCGACTATCTCAGCATAGGTATAGAATATAACACTGAAAATAAAGCTTTCATGAAATAGAAATGGGCGAAAAGTAACATTTTTATACATACATAGTGCGTGAGTTATGTCAAATTTGACTTATCTCACTAACTATTTTAAATATAAGCAGCGCTCAAACTCAAGTACGTGTGAAGGATAAGTATTTAGAATTCTAAAACTAATTAGTAGATATTCAAGAAATACGAACACAGTTAGAACCACCAAAATTAATGTAATGGTTTGTTCCAAATATTAGCAAAATTTCAGATACTAAAGTAACCACATCAGCATGCACCACACCAAAAGGAGAATAAACAACATCGCTTTTTTACATAAATTTGCAAAATATTGACCTGATAATTGTGGTTTTTCCCACCCCCGGAGGTCCAATAAGTAGTATGGAAGCCTCATCTTTAACTAAATCACGCAATAAGTTAGCACTTCCAGACACAGCGCGACCAACGCGGCAAGTTAAACCAATGATTGCACCTTTCCTATTTCTAATGGCGCTAATCCGGTGCAATGTTCTGCTAATTCCAGCTCGATTATCAACGGCAAAATCCCCGACCTGTGACACGTAGCATAATATCATCAAGCTGAAACACTCACATGTCATGGAGTTAAAGGATTCGAGTTATATATTTCAATATTTCCAATGTTTTTTCATATCATTCTGATGGATTTGAAATGCTCCCCATCGCTAAAAACTTCACAATATTGCAAAAGTATGATTTCAAATGCTTAAGAAAGCGATTCAGTTTCAAACAATAGAAATTAAAACTAAACGACACAAAATCCAAGAATTCCAAATCCACCATAACTGAAATAACCAAAAACCGTCTAGTAATCTAAATGTTTTGATTTTGAATGCACGCCAACGGTATGATTTACCTTCTATTTCGGCTTTACTAAAACAAAACCCTGGCAAAACGTTGCAGCAAAGAACAAACACATGAAATCGAAACAGTATAAAAGGAACTGGGGGCGGTGATCAGAAGAAGAAATCACTACCTCCATACTATATCTGATTTCACACTAAATGAAATACGTACAGTCACCAAACATTAAAGCAAATTTCCCTCCATGAAACTAGCGCACCTGCGAAACGGCATGTTGGATTTCCTCAGTGGTAATCGGGTGCTCGGACAAGACGAAATCCCCCGACGGAAACCTAGCCAGAGGCTTTCGTCCCAAGTCCATGACCACCTCAATCAAATCCTGGAGCTCGGGGTGCTCGTTCACCCTGCGCCGCATCTCCTCCGGCAAAAGCGCCAGCAGCCGACCCAATTCAACATTGAAATCTTCGGCGGTGGCCGTGACATTATCATCAGACGAGTATTTCAGCGGCGATGAGTGTAGAAGAGGAAAAACCTGGAGGTGTCGATTCGGGAGACCCGGCCCGGAAAATGTGAGTTCGGTCGGGATGTGGAATCGAAGGGAGGAGAGTATTCGGGTCGGGTAAGGATTTGGCGGAGGTTTGAGGTGGAGCAGAGGATGAGAGTGGAGCATTTGTGTTTTTTGGCGCTAAAATTAGCATTCGGGGGTTAGGTTGTGGGAGTTGGGGATTTTTCGAAATGGGGACTCTCTCTCTCTCTCTCTCTCTCTCTCTCTCTCTCTCTCTCTCTGCTTATCCGAGATTTTTGGAGGAGAAAGAAAGCATATTTCAATTTGTATTCACAGGCGAATAATATTTTTTTTATTAATTTTTTTTCTTTATATAATTATATTATGAATATCCCAGTTCTAGAACAAGGGTTTGACACTAATTTGCAGACGCAGTTACAAAGAAAAAATGAAACAAATTGTATTTACTTTTTGTATCCCTAATTTTAATTACATACATATTTCAAAAAAAAAAAAAATTAATTACATACAAAAATCGTTATGAATACACATTAATTAAACTGGAAATAGGAGAGTGCATTCAGCTTATACATGCACTGTGCAATCATCGAGCGATCGAAGAGGCGAACATTGTGCGACAAGTTGGATCTGGTAACTGCGGGTAAATAAATTCCAATTTGGGTCAATTGACATATAACTCACTTATTCCAACCGCTAGGTTATCAATATTCACTCGTAATCATAGAACACGACGTTTTGTTTTTTTTTTTTTTTTTTTTTTTTTTGCTTTTTAAGTCCAGGCAGATTGTTAAAGAAATATTATTTAAGAAGATGTAAAAGTACAGATCGATGTAAAATTTAAGAGGTAAAAATAAAATGCTACTTATCTTTATCTTTGTATCTTAATGCATTTAATTTAGTTTTTCTATTCTGTAAAGCTGTCATTAACCACCTCAATCGACAAATGAAGCCGCAAATGATTAATCACAATAATTATATTGGGATTAATCACAATAACTACATACTCCGTACTACTTTATTAATGATCGCAATTAACCAAATCCACTTTATAAATTGACAATAGCATAATTCAATACTAATCAATACCAGAACGTCCTTTTTCGTTACAATATATTTGAATATTTTATTCCTTACTTTAATTGAATATTTGAAACTGAGAAGATAAGAAAAATAAAAACATAGCTAATAGGTCTTCGAGATTTAGCTTATTTAAGCCTCGTTTGGTTGCTAAGATAAGACTAAATAATCTAATGAAATTTAATTGTTATAGGACCTTGGAAGGTCCAACAAAAATCATTAGCTTATTTAAGCCTCGTTTGGTTGCCAAGATAAGACTAAATAATCTAACGAAACTTAATTGTTTTATTGGACCTTGGAAGGTCCAACAAAAACCATGCTTATGCAAGATAAGCCATGATAACATAATATTTGCGAGTCGACCCGGCAAGTTATTAGGGATACCAAACATCAAACAAAATCCAACGATTTAGTTAATCATGGTTAATCTCCTCAACCAAACAAGGTCTTACAATATTAAAAAGAAAAATGTAATAACTTAGTTAAAGTTTTAAAATGACAAATATCATCCTCAGACAGTAGTTACACCGTATACTTTGAACTAGGGCTGGGTACATGTCGGTTTTATCGGTCAACTGACCTACTTTCGATCCACTTTTCTTGGTTGATAATCGATAAATAACCGACTCATATAGTCGGGTCGGTAATTTTAACCGACCCATATATAAATGGGTAGGTCAGTAATTTTTTGTTTAATCAAAAATCGATTGGTCGGGTGACATCGGGCGATCAATTTTTTTAATAAAAATTTATTATAACTAATTAATGTAATTCTTTTTTTATTGATGCTAAAATAATATATAAAACAAGTTAAAACTGGAAGCACAAATTTATAAACCTCTAAGTATTATTTCCATTTTTTTAATTCTCATTTTATATTCATAACTCTTCATTATATATTTACTTTTGGGTTAATTACAACCGTCCCCTGAGAGAAGGTCTATTTATAAAAACCCATTATTTTTTCATAATTACAACTGCACCCTTAAAATTTGTAACTTTTTTACATTAACATCTTTTGTAGAGGGTGGATGTAAGAAATTTACAAACTGCAGGGGTTTGCATGTAACTTCTACAAAATGAGTGTTTTTCTATAAATTGACTTTAGCTCAACGAGGTGGTTGTAATTTACCCTTACTTTTTGTAAATGTAATAAAAAAAAAAACTCTTAAATTTAAAGTTGCAACATAAGTTTTCCGAAATTTTTAAATATCTTATGACAAAACTTTTAAAAACATCTTATTATTGTCAAAAAAATTAAAATAAATAGATGGTCAATAATACTAACCAACCGACCCATCGGTTGTCAAACATTATTCGACCCATAATAGTTGGGCCGATAATGGTTTCAAATATTTAGGAAAATCAGTTGGCCGATAATTCCCCAATCTAACCCATGTCCAACCCTACTTTAAACTCGATATTGATTCGATAACGATGATTAAAGCTCGGTTGTTTATCATATGGAAATAAACTTCAAAACTTATGTAAAAGTTGGATTAAAGTTTACTCAATCGATCAATTGGAAGAATTGTACTAGAGAAAAAAGTAGGTGACAGCTGGTGGGGTCGAGATGATTGATTTTTAGTAAGAATAGTTGTCGAATTCAATCTTGCAACAAAGTCATAGTAATTGCTTGTATTAAAAGTATTGATCAAATTTTGGTGCCATTTTTGGAAAATACTTGGGAATATTGTTCTATAAATTAAATCACATTTACTTTCACTGCTGGTAAATATTCTAATACTTTATAAAACATTGTTTTGCTATTTATATCTTCATGATGGAGCCTCCCTACAAGCAATCTAGTTTGTCCAAGAAAAGAAAAAATTGAATGGTTTTATTTATTTATATTTAGGGTAAATATCACTTAATCGTCCGTGGTTTACAAGCTTTTGCAGATAACCTTCTTGTGTTCGTAATAGATGTAGTGTCCCTTAGTTTTTCTGTCAAACTTAATTGCGCGTGTCAAACTTCAAGTGCATCATCTGCAAAATATAGTGTTTTGACGTTTGACACGCGTAGTTATTTTTAACGTAAAAACTAACGAAAGTTTCAACTATCAACCACAAGAGAGGTTATGCGCTATATTACGAGCCACAAGAAAATCATCTACAAAAGTTTGAAACCACATAGAGGTCAAAAAATAGTATTTACCCTTATATTTACCATAAACAAAACCCTATATGTCCAAACTGAAATCCAGTCTTGTACAATATTAATCTATATTTTGATATGTGTTTGAACTATTCACATTTTCTTATGTTTGTTTTTTGACATAATGCCTTTCTTAATTTTATAATTAACACTAATTTCTCTCCTTTTAAAAAAAACCCAATACGGAACCTTCGATTCATGAACCAGGCTCGGAGATTGTCAATCTCCGAGTCGATACTTCTGGTTCATGAAATTACAGAAACCGACAATTACGAAACTATGGACGTGCTTACATATTTACCCACTAAAAATAAATGGAAAATGAAATGAAAAAGAGATGCCGATGGTGGTGTTTTTTTCTTCTTTGAAGTGAAGCAATAAAGAAAGAGAGAGAGGAATTCAAAAAAGGATGCCAGAAAAACCACAAAAGCTGTATTAGGTCACTTTCAAGATGGTGGCATTTTGGAGGATCTATTCCTCTACAATCACACACATATACACACCAATTTTCTAAGCAATTTTCTTAAAAGGTAAAAATTGAGAAAATTCTTTATTAAAAAAGAAAAACAATTATTTGGCCCTTTTTGAATTATTTTCAAACACCTCCCCCAAATAAAATTATATTGGTTTAAGATTTCTATAATTGACATGAGAAACTTTTGGATACCGAAAACAAATCTTTGATAGATATTTTCACTACAAATTAAAAATCAGTTTATTGTTTGGGTAAATTACGGTCACTCTCTGAAATAAGGTCAAAATACGAAAACTCTCCTCCTAGTTGGGTAATTACAACCACCCACCTCAATTATAAATCTTCTTAAACGTCCACACTTATAGTGTCAAATTCAACATATTTTTCTAGATACCGTGGAATGTTCTCTTGTACTCGTTTTGTGGAAAAATGCAGTTTCTAATGCACCACAATCTGATATTTACAAGCCAAAAGACGCATCATATGATCATCTTATTTTAAAATATGGACCTCGAATGGGATAAAATGGTTACAAGTCAGAGAATACTCCATATAATTTAGAAAATTCCACTAAATTTAACACCGCAATTGTCGAGGTGTAAGAAGATTAATAGTTGAAATATGATGGATTTTTTCGTAATTTGAGGTTACTTCAGGGCGGGGGCAATTTTTTTTTTGGGGTTATTTTGTTTTGGAGTTTTTAAAATGGGGTTATTTTTGAAGTAGTAATTAAATTGGTGTTGGCCGCCACCGGGAACGGCGGCATCGGACGGAGACGCCACCGCTGGTGGCGGCACCGGGAGGAGACGCCGCCACCAGTGGC